TGCCCCAGGAAGCGTCTTCACATCCTTCACACTGTTTCTGAATCGATGTTTCACTAGGATGTAGTCCAGCTGATGCCTCCTCCAATCCCCAGATGCCTTCCATGTGTAAATTCTTCTCTTTGGCTTCTTGAACCAAGTGTTGGTGACAATCAGTCCACTTCTTTCACAAAAGTCAATAAGCATTTGACCCCTGTGATTCCGTCTTCCTAGTCCATATGATCCAACAATATTCTGATATATTTGGTATAAATTTGTGTGTGCATATTTTAGTGCATGTATGTCTCCACCTTATCGTGGTGAGGGCGTTTGAGTATGCCAAGGACCCTGAGAGCTATACCAGCGGTAGCGTAGCTACTGGCAGGGCCTCCATTGCTGGACAGGTCAAAGGGTAGGCATTAGACGAAGAGAGACACCGAAAACCAAAAACTGATGCCGGAAGCAGCGTCATCAACAGCGACGTGAAGCACAGAGCAAATGATGCTCGAGATGGTGCAAGTTCGTATAGCAACAGGCGTGACCAGAGTGGTTTGAACGGCTGTGGTACTGCGATGTGGAAAGCAAATGGAAAAATTCCCACATCACTTTTCCTGGATAGTCTCTTTCCAAAAACAGAGACACCATGTATGCGAAGATAGAGGGGCGGATAGAAGTGACCAGAAGACGAGGAAAAAACGTAAGATGATGCTGGATGACCTTGAGGACAGAATAGGATATTCTCATTTGAAGGAGAAGGAGTGGAGTAAGTGTTTTGGAAGAGACTGTGGACCTGTCGTCTGACAGATTACCGGTGAATGAATTTCGGAAGACTTTCATGCATAAATGCATACATATTTAAGGGATTATTAGGGCATAAAAATCCGGTCCCTAATCACAACTTAGCAACGGGTCTACATGCTACAATACGAATATGCATAAAGCGAGGCGTATATATATAAGTCCATGCGAAATGTGGCTAGAAATACACAGGAGGAACGCAAGAGAGCTAGAAACGTGCAAGTTTACAGGCAGAATATTCCTGAAATGAGGATCTTAGCATGAAATGGGATGAACTTTAAAAGCATCTGCAGAGAAGGAGGAGGTTACAAGGGAACAATAGCAGAAGAGGTTCTATACTCGTAATCCAACTAGTTCAACGTTGCAGCCTCTGGTACGAGATGAGAAGTAAAGGCATAAGAAATATAAGAGTCAGTACTATTACATTGCGAGGGAGCATTTATAAAATTGTCAAACGGTCCCGTGTTCGATTCCAACCAGTCACTAATAATATCAAGATAGAATTTTAAGAACCGGTCGCTTGAAAACAGTAGCTAGACCATATAGTTTCGAATGGTATAATGATAGATAACTGGTGAATGTGAAAGGATTTGGAAGGAAACCGTCATCAAATACTCGAGATATAACCCGCTCAGTGCAAGGGGTCCCGAAATGTCATGAAATCAAATATACGTGAGACCATAAAGAATACCCACATATGTGTATATTGGTACAAACTATCATTAGGCACTACGCCATGAAGGCGTACGGGGGAGTGGATGTATAGATCCACGTTTTCTTCATTTCGGGTGGCCAGCTTCACGCCCCACCCGCTTTTCTCCCAGGGAAAGAGCCTCTGTACCCACTGGATAGGAGGCTGGGTGGACCCCATAGTCGGTCTGGACGTGGAGAAGATCCTTGACCCCAACGGGACTCGAACTTCGAAATCTCGGTCGTCGATCTCCGTAGCCAGTCGCTAAACCGAGTATACGAAAAACAGAAATGTTTGGGCCATGAAAATATATGAAGGAGTGGAGGTATAGCTGCAGCGTTCTTGACCTCAGCACTAGATGGAGGTGAGTGGTCAGCTTCATGTTCAGGCAGCTTTACCCCCCCCCCCCCCACGGCGGCTGGTTGGGTCACAGAGCTGTTCTATACGCTGTGGAGTAGAGAAAAATCTTGCCCTTGTCGAGAATCGAACCTCGGCCATCCAGCCCGTAGCTATACCGACTGAGCTATCCCTGCTTCTCTACAAACAATATATAGTGGAGATTTGCCGTTAAGAGGGAAATAGTTCACAGTCGCTCAGTTAGTCACTCAACATTCCATGGTATAAGGAATGCTTCATTTTGCTGAAATTTCCGATAAATAAGATGGCGCTTTCAATCGTACAGCATGACACTGTAATGTGCTGACATCTGGAGGCTGCCACAGGAATGAATTGCTCACTTTGTCATCCGGGGAAATAGTGATGGCATTTTTCTCGATATCCGTTATCGATATTCAATAGATTTGTTTTTCGTGCTGGCAGAATGGCTGCAGCAAGTTTTATAACTTTATGACGATGGAGTAAATATAATTATAGGCTGTTGTGTAATTTCTATACACAAGAGAAGCATTTCCCTAACAAAATTCATATCATCCATGGATGAAAAACAGAGCAGAAAGAAATTTATAGAAAAGTGCGTCATCTCAACACGTGTTGCACAGAGCACCTGTTGACAACAAGTACACGTATTTACCGGAACAGAGGGCACAGATGCAAACACAGGAGAGGACGACTTAGGGACAACTTCCTGCCACTTCATCCACTTCCTCAGCACCCTGTTCTCAAACACCCTCAGTCTATGTTCCTCCCTTAATGTCAGAGACCAAGTTTCACACCCATACAGAACCACAGGCAAAATTATATTTTTGTATATTCTAATTTTTACGTTTTTAGACAGCAGACGAGAAGACAAAAGGTTCTGGACTGAATGGCAGCACGCATGCCCCAATTCGGCCTCCCCTTAGTTTACCTATGTTACTCTCTTTCCTATTCCAACTTGACCTCGTCTTCAAGGAGTATATCAGATATCTCTGTGTTATGATGCAAGCAAGCGAACAATTTTTGCTTTCACCTGACACTACCCAAGGTAATTCCTTCGGCTGCAAGACGTGGAACCCGAGGCCTCCCTTCTAAGAAACATCCGTATGTAATACAAAGCAGAGAGATGTGCTTAGCTGGGGCTAACGAACCTAACTGGGGAATCAAGTCAGTGGTTTCCAGAACCCACAACCTCTACCCTTGCATGGGCGCTAAACGCATTCTGGTGGCGGGAGATTAAATTAACACTCTAAAAGATTGCTTTCCAAAGCACACAGTTCCAAAGAACGTCACTGTTACTTCAGTGTACATTTTGTTAAGTGCTGAAAGGTAGAGATTTTGGAATTCTAAGCATGAACGCGTGTATTTTACTTACGAGACTTAAAAAGTTTCTCTTATTGGTAACACTAACGCGCGTGAAAACCATTTACATGACGACAGAGCTCTGAAGAAGGTCCCCTCACGCTGCATCGTCACATGATTCATAAACTAACAGCCACGATCGTAACGACGACACTAAAAATGTTTTAAATTCGCTTAGTGGGGGGTGGAGTCCAATTGTGTCCACTCGGCACGGCGGCCACTGATTGGCCTATTGTAGCCTGCCCCGGGTTATAATGATGATGGGGAATTTGGTGGAATGAAGTTTGGCAGGTGAAACCGAAGTACTCGGAGAAAACCTCCCCAGCGTCACTTTGTCCACCACAAGTCCCACTTGACAAGACCCGGGATCGAACCTGGGCCGCCGCCGTGGGAAGCCAGCGACTAACCGCTTGAGCTATGGCGCGGCAACTACGATAACACTAAAATACTATTTGTAGTCCTAGGCTCAATTTTATGGCTATTTAGAACAAACACATAAATTAGGTTAATGATTTATATAAAAGTCTTTAAACTCTTTTAAATTAAACTTTTATTTCAAGGACATATTACATTAATAATCCCCGTTCCCAATTTTTGAATTTCTAAACCCATTGTTATCAAAATGGTATGTACATCATGGCACCTGAGCCCATCTCAACCCCTGCCGTCAGTCCGTGTGTGTCTGTGTATGTCCCTTTATCGTTGTTTTCAAAACAAGAGAAGTAGGCCAAAGAACGGGACGATGACTAATGTCCAGAATAGTCAATGCCCAATTATCGACTTTTTGGATGTTATTCATCGGTAGCGGTGATTGATGAATTATATTACAAGCCGGAAGGTCACGTGTTCAAGTCCAGGTGAGGTGGATTGTTTCAATTGACCTAGTACTTCCAGCCGCACTATGGCCCTGGGGTCGACTGAGCCTATAACAAAAATGAGTCCCAGGAATCTTCTTGGGGTAAGGGGCGACCGGCGCGTATGTTTGATAACCTCACCGCGGGAGCCTCGACGTCCCATAACACTATGGGCCTCCACGGCCTGTTACAGGGATACTTTTGCCTTTTCTTTTCTGTTATATACTTAAATTAATATGCCACGCTCATGAATTTTAAAACATTATTTTCTTGAGCTGCATCAGGAAAGCGGGAACAACACTTAGATTGTGGTCTGTAGGTCCATGTCAACGTTTCGGCAGAGTTACACACTGTAAGTCTCAAGATGGAGGCGAGGTGTTCTGAAACGCTGGTATTCAACTAGAAGACTACACGATATCACAACTCAGAAGACCACGAATTCTAGTTCGTGAAAATATGTAAACTTTCAAATAGCTTTTTTCTTCTCCAAGCGACATCACGAGTGTGCTTCTGGAACTGAATAGGGGACTCACCAGTCGGGTACACCAGGATGGTCGGTCTCTTGTTGTGGGGCACGGCGGCCGGAGACGGAGGCGTCACCCCTGTCTCACCTTTGCTCGTCATACCGGCGTCACAATCCCATGACGGGCGGGTAGGGTTCCTGCAACATTTGCACCAGTCATCACTACAAGTGCTGGGCTGTCTGCCTGCAATCTGTCGCTTACTCACACGGATCTACTCAGCTTAAATGTATAGCTAACTTACAGAATTACCAACGTAAAATGTGCATTTGACCAACCGATATACTCAGCTTAACTGTGTAATTAACTTACAGAATTACCAACGTAAAGTGTGCCTTTGACCAACTGATCTACTCAGCTTAACTGTGTAATTAACTTACAGAATTACCAACGTAAAGTGTGCCTTTGACCAACTGATCTACTCAGCTTAACTGTGTAATTAACTTACAGAATTACCAACGTAAAGTGTGCATTTGACCAACTGATTACTCAGCTAATCTGTGTAGTTAATTTACAGAATTACCCAGGTAATTTATACATTTAGCTGATCGATCTATTGAGCCAAGCTGTAATGGTAAGAAGAAGAGTGAAAAAAAAAACATGCATCATGCGGGATTACATTAGTTGTATTAAGAGAGCTGAATTGAATTTCGCAGCTTTGCATGATCATTAAGCATACAATGTCAAAATATACCAAGGAGAATACAAGGAGAGCATATTAAAATGGGCGACGATAATTTTATTCCACTGCTTATTCGATTTCTCATTTATTAATCGCTCTAACATTCAACGCTGTATCGCCTGAGCTACTGAACGCTTCGCTTATTAAAAATATAATGTAATACTATTAAAAAGAATGTATCATTAAATTACAAACAAAGTTGAAATATCAATTTAAACTTTTCTGTACTTCTGGATGTGGCTTCCCATGTTTATAGTGTATGATATTTAAGGTTTTTATGGTATTTTTGGTGCAGTTTGGTATGTATATATCAAGATATAAGGTGACACGTTTAATAACGCCAATATCTTAAATGTCTCGTATTTTATACTTGCGTGTCTAAAAAAAGTGTCTTGCGATAATTTTCGCCATTTTGGATTTATGTATCTAAATATTATTTCACATTAGTGTGAAGATTTAATAAAGATCAGCCATTCATACAGTAACAGAAAAGACGGTAAAACTATATACGACACATAGCAAGGAAAATATTATTAGGTCTAAAACTGTCCTTGATGAATGGCTTATATGTATCGATAAACTGTATATACCCTGTATTTGACGTCATCTTCGACAAGCACGACATAACAAATGGCAACACTATATCACACTCAGTAATCAGTGACACGGAAACACGTGAATAAGTCACTGATAAGCTCTAAGCAAGGGTACAACTATATCCCATTCATGTACATACGCGTATGTACAAGAGCGATACATAATGCAAGACTGGCATAAAAAGACGGAATTAAGAATAGTCTATGTTCGACGCTTTCAATTGTCTTGTGTGTTGAATTTAATCTTTTGTAGATGTCCTATAATCTTTACATGATGTTCTCCCTTTTGACTTAAGTCTCTCTGTGGCCGCGCCATAGCTCAAGCGGTTAGTCGCTGGCTTCCCACCGCGGCGGCTCGGGTTCGATCCCGGGTCTGTTCAAGTGGGATTTGTGGTGGACAAAGTGGCGCTGGGGCAGGTTTTCTCCGAGTACTTCGGTTTCTCCTGCCAATCTTCATTCCACCAATTGCTCCACAATCACCCTCACCTATCATCTGGGGCTGGTACAATAGGCCAGAAGTGGCCGCAGTACAAGGGACTTAGTCCCACCCCACTGGCAATAAAAAAAAAGTGTTTCTTTTGGCGAAATGAGTAATAGGAATCTTCCGGGGGGGGGGGGGCTAAAGGGCGACCGGCGCTTTAGGCTGACAACCTTACGGCCATCTGTGAGCCGACTGTCTAGGCAAAATGTGGGAGCCTCAACGTCCCACAAACGTATGGGCCTTCATAGTCTGTTACAGGGATAGAATTACCTTTTTCACATTTTTTACTACATTCTTGTAAATCATTTATTTATTTATTTTGTCAATTCTATTTCTCAGGGAAGGAGATCACCATGCTCTCTGTCTGTCTATATCTTCATCCATTTCAGGTTTTAAAGCCCTTTATCTATTTTCATGAGACTCAGTCATACCAGCAGACGGCACCAATAACAGAGTTAACTTCTTGAAATGAGTAACAACAAAATGGCGGATCCACGATCGTTTTAAGTGGGAAAGGTAAATTTTTTGCGTACTTCCAGGGTAAGGCACATCTTTCTACTGCTTAAAATTCACTAAAATCCACAATCTGCTTACAGACACATAGCAGAACACGATTCTTTCTCCTGTCTTTGTAAACCTCAAATAAATGTGTATTTAGAAAAGAAGGGCTGTGCTTCTCAGCGAGACAAATCGTGCGTAATTGTTTATACATTCTTCAGATGCATTTGATGTGTCCATTTTTGACGGTTAATTTAGAGTCAGTAAAAGTAAAGTAAAGCTATCCCTGAAACAGGCCTCGGAGGCCCATAGGGTTGTGAGATGTTGAGGCTCCCACATTTTCTAGACAATCTTCTCACAGATGGCGGTGAAACTGTCAGCCTCACGCGCCTGCCTCCCTTTACCCCCAGGAATATTCCTGGTACTCATTTCTGTTAGAGGCTGAGTCGACCCCAGGGCCATACTGCGGCTGGAAGGATTAGGTCAATTGAAAAATCCACCTCATCGGGATTCGATCCGACGACTTCCCGTCTTGTAGCATTGTGCCTAAACCAACTAAGCAATTTAGAGTTAGTATTAAATTAAATATTCCATTTGGTAATATTTATTTTGAAAAAATCCAACTTGTACTCTATAAATAGTTTAACACGTTTTAATAACAAACTGCGATAATTTTAATGACCACTTTTTATGTTCCTTACAGTGACAAGAACGCCAGATGCTTCCACATAAAAAAGAAACAAATTAATCTGAAATGGCGCTGCCATTTTTTGTGCGACTCTACGGCAGAGCACTCTCGTGGCAGCCTGATGGATTACAATCGTTTCAGCATATCCTGCGCTATCACATGTTCTGCCTGACGGATGGATTTTCAATAGCGTAAAGCTATACATTCATGAATATTTTAGCTGCTACTTAGTAAATTACAATTAACCTAATTAAAGCAAACAAGAAAACTGTCCTCTGGGTAGGAGCAAAACGTCTGAGCCAGCGAAAAGCGTCAGTCAGAAAAAGAGACAGACACTGAAATACGAATAAAGTGGCAAGAGTCTGGTCCTGCGCAAAGGAAACGCATCTGTTCTGATAACAACAAAGGTGAATAATGTAAAGTTGTCCCTGTGTTTAACTAATTAAGCAGTACGCCATGAAGGCATATAGAGAATGGATCTATAGAACCAGATTTGCTTGACCTCGGCACTAGTTGCAGGTGAGCGGCCAGCTTCACGCACCCACCGCTTTACCCCCGGTACCCATTATATATGAGGCTGGGTGGGCTCCTGAGTCGGTCTGGACGACGTGGAGAAGAACTTCTTGACCCTACCGGGACTCGAACTCTTACCCTTCCGTCGTCCAACCCGCAGCCAGACGCTGTACCGACTACGCTAACCCGGGTTGGAGAGAGGTGAGTGGTGTTAATAATTTGGTGTATATGCAGCCGGGATAGCTCAGTCGGTATAGTGACGGTTTGGACGGCCTGGGGTTCGATTGCCGGGAGTGGCAAAAATTTATATACTCCACAGCGTCCAGACCGGCTCAGGGGCCCACCCTGCTTCCTATCCAAAGGGTAACGGGGGCGTCTTTCCCTGGGGGTAAAAGGGTAGGGACGTCAAACTGAACACTCGCCTCCATCTAGTGCTGAGGTCAAAAATACGTGGAGTTATACCTCCATTCCCTGACACGTCTTCATAGCATGGTACTTAATTAATTGAGCACAGAGACAAATTTATCTTTCGTATATTGTAATATTTTAAGCGCGTTTTGATTTTTCATTTTGACAAGTTTAGTCTCCTAATTTAACATCTGTGTCTTCTTGAATGTAATGTTGATGGAAGGAGTGAGTGTGTTCAGGCAGGCTGAAAATAAGAGCAAAGCCTGAGTTATGTCATCATTCGATATCAGAGAAGTGGGGTGGGGGGTGGAATTAATAACGAAGTGAACTAGAAAAAACACGGTTCACTTCAGAGTACATTTGAGGGAGCCGTTGGTTTTTTTTTTTTGTGAGATATAAGAATTTGGCGTCGGGCTGGAGGGCCCATTCTGCCAATTACAAGCTTAAGTTAGAATTTGTAACATGCTTACAAGTAGGTTCAAAATTAAAGCATATTGAGTTTACAAGTAAGCTTAATGTGAAACAGGTTTATAGCATGCTGATGAGTAAGTCTAAACTGAAATAGGTGGCTAAGTGAAGGCAGTTGTTGGTGGAGTAGATACGGTTTGTATCTAATTTATGTAGCAAGGACTAAGGTTATATTCATTAAATGGTGATGTCGATGCGGGTTAGGTAGCGAGCAATCGATGCAATAATCCCAGAGTCCATGTCCCTGAGGAGGGGTTCGATCTTGTACGGGGGGTATTCATTGTACTTAATCAGGTTTCTGAACATGTCTTCTCGTGCCGCATCAAATCGTTTGCATTGCCATAAGATGTGGCTGGGAGATTCGATATTTTCTCCGCAGTCGCAAATCGCGTCGGGAACAATATTGAGTCTATGAAGGTGGGTTTTCAGGCAGTAGTGCCCGGCTCGAAGTCTGTTGAGCGTGACGATGGGCTTCCGGTGGAGCTTAATCTTGTTGAACCAGGGGTAAGGTACATCAGCGAAGTAATTATCGAAGTAATATTTTCCTTTGTGTGCTCCCGATGAGTAGCCCCATGCGTAAAATTCCTTTAACATTTTCTGTTTCCAACAGGCTCTAAGGTCGGTCCAGGGTAATAATAGTTGGGAGTCTATGCCTTTGTAAACACTCTCTTTTGCCGCCATGTCGGCCCGTTCGTTGTGGGTGATTCCAATGTGGGCAGGTATCCAGTAGAAGTGAACGATTTTACCCTTTTCTTCAAGCATGAGGAGTTGCTCTTTAATGGTAAGTATTAGATGACTACACTGTT